AGGCTGCTTTACTTTTACATGGCCCACGTTGCTTAGTTACAAGGCCTGAGGCCTACATTGGGTGAAAAAGGCCCTTTCATTTTTTTTAATTAATAATTTATTTATAGTTTGTGATTCTTAACTCTACGTTGGTCAAGTATATTACCACATGAATCAGAGGCAAAAGTTTTCCGAAATTATTATTCTGCACAGTGCCAGAACTGTCATAACACCCTTTTTTTAAGTTTTCAGATTCTTTTGATTTTTCTTTTTTTTTTATTTAACATACGCTTGCGCAGGTTTTTGAGCATGTACACATACTCCCCACGGGCATGTACGGGGTCCTACCTAGATGAAAAGTTGAAAACATTTGAATTTAGAATTTTGAAGGTGGGGTGGGGAGTCACCCAAGTACACTTCCAGCAGGGGTATCTCGGCAAATGACTGCCAAGATCAGTGATCTGTCAGGGAACATGGCATGCAGGGGAGCTGAGGGGACGCTGTTCCTAGGGATTGCCACAACGCACCTAAACCACCAGGACCTCCGAACCTCTTTTTCCCGAAGTGGATTTAGGTTATGCGCCAAAAACAAAGCAAACTGGCGCGTTACAATTTTGTTTTCCTTCCTTGGCTGGAATTTCCTCGAAAAGAGGTCCAGTAGGCCGAGCTCCTGAAAATCGCGGTGGTTAACCAAACTCGCTGGAAGAGATTGACTAGCAAAGGTGCTGGTGGTTTGACCAAAAAAAAAAAAAAAGAAGAAGAAGAAAAAAAAAGGCAAATCTTGTGGGCATGGGTGGGTCGCAAGTCAGGGGTTTCGGAAAGTGAGAAATCACCAAAATCTGAAAACACTGAAAAGAAAAACACAAAAAAGGAGATACAGCTCGGAGGCAGCAAAAAATAAAGACGACTCTGAAAAACATATAAAATGAGGTGAAGAATTCCAGCGGCTAACAAACCTTCAGAATTAGACTCGCTGCCTTTTGCGGTGGCAGTCCTCTGCAGCATTTCGCCGCCTTCTCATTCGACAACACGTCCCAGATGCCGTCAGTGGCAAGAATCAACCGCCCTCCCCTGGTCGAAAGCTGAAGACCGAAAAAAAAATGACACACACAAAAACCTGGGATATGTTAAGTGACAGAACATCCACAATGAATTTTTTTCCCTACATAAAGAGCATGACTTATGTTCGCCCGATGTTGATAGTATCATAGTTCTATTTCTTTTCAATGTCAACATACGCGATGGGAATCTCAATCGATCAATAACAGCTCATCTAGAAAGCAAACTCACAATGAGACAGTCCAAACTTTATATGCAACAAGGTCACCTAAAGCTCAACTATCCACTTGTCGTACTTAAAAAATCACAAGAAGAAAATAATGAGACAGTCCAAACTTTATATGCAACAAGGTCACCTAAAGCTCAACTATCCACTTGTCGTACTTGAAAAAATCACAAGAAGTAAACAAGACGTCACTCGCAACGAGTAGACAAGGAAAACGTTAATCGCAAAGCAGAATTCGATGCAACTCAAACAGACAGTACAGG